CGCCGTTTGGACGAGGCTAATAGCCTCCCATACAATCGACGACGCTCCCCCTTCTTCTGCGTTCAGCCGTGTTCATGACCGGTACGATCGTTTCCATAGTTGCCACTATGACCTCTCTGTACGATCTCTGGATCTCTCCGATTTTTGCCAGAGTGGGGTGAGGAGGTTTGCTTGCCTAATCCCTTTGCCCTACATGAGGCCGCCCTCAGTCCTCTCTTTTATCCTGCGTATTCCTTCTGATTGGATCGTCCGAGACGCTGGATAAACTATCCTGAAATTATTGGATTTTTCTAGTGGTTTATCGACTGGTTCCCATTGTTCGCCCTACCGCTTCTCCCCTTTCCTTTTCTTTTCGAATTATTTTCCTCTTCCTCAGGTTCTCTCTCCTGATCTGCGTGAGGGGTGTTCGCACATAAGGTCCAAGGCTGCGTCACGGTACACCAAGGGTCATCCATCCTGCGTAGTAGAGAGGGGGTAAGGGTTAGGTCTATCTCCCCTCCATTTGGGCTCATCTTCCGTCCACACGCCCGCGCAAGAAACAACGCGTTCTGCGGTATGGCCTTGGATCCCGAGAGCTTGCAGTCGCCAGTGCCACCGTCTGGGCTCGCCACTGCGAGAGATCACACTATTGAGGACCGAGCTCGCTACGCTGGACTGTCCCGTACATCCGGCGCTTGGCCCCCTCCCTTGCTGGAGCTGTTTACTTGCTGGGATGCTTTCTGAGAGGACATATAACCGAGTGATATCCGCACAGCGTTGACCTGGGCGGTTTGGAGGAGGGGAAATAGTGGAACCTTCAACGTGATGAATCCCACTGCCTCTGGCTCCCCCATTCACCCGCTACGCAAGCTGGTCGCACACCTTACGTAGTGTAAGCGTGTATTCGTCAATAATAGTAGTCGTGTTCCAGAGACAGTGAGAGATAAACGAAGGAGCGATTCGTGGTTGGCTCGCCACACCGATTACTTGAACTAGAACTGTCAGTGACTACCTCACATTCAGCACTCTGCAAGTGAAATATTATGCACACAAGCGAACTGAAGAACTCCAGGCGGGATTTCAGGTTTTCCGTCGGTCACACCCGGCCCACATAGAATGGGGAGGGGAATAAATGATTTATTTTTCGATTTATTTTTGCCGGATATGGTAGAGGCTGGGGGCTATTTATTTGCACCTATTTGGCGGTCTCGTCCACAACCCTTTTGCGTGACCAAAAATCTATATTCACATTTAAACGAACCAGCGAGGCGCCGATTTGGAAAAAAGAAAGGGAGGGGACTGAATAGATAAGGGTTCTTTTTCATTAAGGCATTTCGCACAATAAACAAAAATAAATAAGAAAAAGTGTCAAATGTGATGATCGCGAGTAGTTTCTCTCATCTATGACGAACGAGGTGAGACAATTTGTTCAATGTGTTTTTTGATGCCTGGAGGTACGGTGTGGCTGGCTCTCTGACTGATGGCTGCGAGACCGAACCAGTCCTCTTTTCCCCTCCAGATCTGGATCCCGCTGCTGCCCCGCCATCAGCGTATACGGCGTCGAGAGCTGAGTGGGGGTCTCTGTGGAAACCCCCGTGTTGGGAACGGGCGCGCCGCCGCAATTCGGACGTCATCAGGTACTCCACCATTCGCTCATGCGTCGCTTCGATCGTGGTAGGCGGAAGGCCAGAAGTGATCATGAGGGGTCGGTGCTTGTAGAAGGACAACGCTAATAGCGAGATTCCAGATCTCTATTCCGCGCCGACTCGAGCGAGTCCCGTTTCGACCTATAGAGCGGCGAAAAGGCGTTAGCGTCGTCATTCACTGCGTCAGTCGTCCACCATATATTCGGTAAATACCTAAATGTCTACGGCATGATAATCCATGATCGTCTAATAGTTGGAGCGGTGACCAGCCACTTGCGTCAATCCGAACGTCCTCCTCCATAATTTCCTTCGTACTCGACTAGTGCTGTCGCCGTAATAACCTGACCCTGTCAAAGACCTTTCTCAAAAGTTTATCCTGCCGGTGCCGCACGACGTTTTCCCTAATTATTTTTCTGGGTGGCTCAATATGGCGTGCGATCGCTTGTGGAGCATCACCTACATTTTCTCCTCCCTCTTCCTAGCTCGTGGACGTCCACACCGTCATCTCTGACGCACAATAATACCCTGCAATGTTTACTATAATCACTCTTGTCAAATGTCTGTAAGAGGAGAGCGTAGAGAGGCGTACTGTTGAGCCAAGGGAGGGAGGAAGGCACAGTACGTTGCGCTTGGTGCCTCTGCGAAGAGAGAAACAGAATGCTTCCTCCAATCAGTCCCCGAGAGGGGTTCCCTTTGTCTCCCGATGAGAAACCAAACGGCTCCAGTCAGAAGCTGGTGGCTGTCCAGCCATATGGTAGAGAGGGGGAGAAGCTCCAATTGGAAACAGTGAATCCAACGTCTTGGGATTGAGTAATGAGAACCAGTGACTGCCGCGGTTTCCACTGCGATCGTAAACGAATGCCTATTCGCGCCACTTTGTACCAATAGCAATGAAACGGCGTTC